TCAAGTTGTCATAACTCGAATTGACCTGTTGCAGATGCACGCTGACGACTTTAGATATGATAGTTATGGAGTGGTCTCTGGACTACGAGATGGTGGATACTCGGACGATATGACTCTAGCAGCTATAGCGGGTAACATACAAATTACTGATCCTTATCAAGAGAGGATATTTAAAGCGGGGAATAGAAGCACAAATTTACATTTAATTCATTCATTCAAATAAACTGATTCATTTCAGGTGCTCATAAGAGGCTTATTACATCACCTCCTGTTGCAATTTTCCCGCATCCTCTTGCTAGTGATCTAAACTTGGGGAGGTCTGATATCTATATAGACAAATACAGTGTGCCAATCTTGTTTTGTTTATTTACTTCCATGTTTGAGCTCTTTTACTGACATGGCAGGTATTGGAATTACTTGAGGAAACAAACTTTTGTTTTGGAATCATACACGTCACACATTAACAAGATGATGAACCGGGCACTGTTTACTTCTCATTGCTATCTGTCATGGGGGTTTGTGGCACCATACTTTATGTCTATGATTCACGTCGCCGCAGCACTACGTTTCTACGTTAAAGGGTACTCACTCGAGGAAACAGATTTTAGTACTGTGGGTGAGTACACTGCTTTCCAATTTAGTTAGGTTGATCCCCGAGTGGGTTACGTTTCATGTTCACTTTGCTCGATGCTGAATGTGAATATGATGAATTGTTTTTGGAATTGGAGCTTTGTTGTCGTGTTCAGTTTTTTGAGTTGTCACATCTAACTGTTTTGTTGTTCTTCCTTAATAGGTATGTTAATGGTGTGCAGTCTTGCTGTGTGCACTGTTATAGAACTCTTCTCCATGTGGAACTTGACAAGGGTAGAAGTTCACTTATGCAACATTCTGTCACCGGAGGCTCCCCAGCTCTCTCTTGCTTCCTACAATTGGGGATTGGTAATCATAATACAATCCAGTTGTTTGGGTTAAGTTATTATATCATGGCATCTCTTGATTAGATTCGTAAATGTAGCATTTGTTTTTGGATGTGCAGGTATTCATTGCAATCTTGGTGGATAACTTTTTGTACACTATTTCTGCAATACGTTCTCATTTTTCTCAATCAATCAACTGGTCAGGCATCCGATACTACTTGAAAGATGGGAAGATACACAAGGTAAGTTGGCTAAGGCCTTATATTATATGACAAGATAAAAGACTGCCCAATGAACTGGTGTGTTAGCTTAGGAAAATTGTCCGAGTTTATTTGTGTAGATCCCACATCGGTTGGGGAGGAGAACGAAACATTCTTTATAAGGGTGTGGAAACCTCTCCTTAGCAGATGCGTTTTAAAAACTTTGCAGACATGTGATGTCCCACATTGGTTGGAGAGGAGAACAAAACACTCTTTATAAGGGTGTGGAAACCTTCTCCTAGAAGACGCGTTTTAAAGCCTTGAAGGGAAGCCCGAAAGGAAAAGTCCAAAGAGGACAATATCTGCTAGTGGTGGGCCCGGGTCGTTACAAGACAATATCGGCTAAGCCCGCTTAGCCTGTTACAATTTGCTTGCCACCCAAAGGAGGGGGTTGCTTTGGGTCTTGCTGGGCAAGAAAAGGCAATCTGAAGATGATATTGTAGTTTAATGAGCATGGTAACGAAAGAATAGCCTAGGCAGCCAGTTATGACTAGTTGTTTTCATGCTCTGCAGATTGAAAAAAGTATACCGAAAATCGATACGGGTCCGATTTACACGGATTTGGGAGGGAAGCATTTGTATGGAAAGAAAGGAATGGCTCCAAAGGTTTCATTTCTGGGTTCCTTGGCTAAAAGTTTGGCACAATGGCGCCAGCCTAAGAAATTTGATAGCTAGGATAGGTGGTTGGGTTGTTCACAAGAACTGCTAATTATTGATATGGCGTGTTCTAAGTCTGTGGGAGTACTGTGCTGCCACTCCATTTGTTGATTGAACATAGAGTTATAGCTACTTTCTCTTCATTCTTTTCTTTATTCCATCAAATTTGATTCTTATACAAACACCTCTCGCGATTTGGCAGCGAGTTTTTCCTGGTTCTTGTAATTTCAAATACACCGTGTAAACTTGAGCTGTGTGAAACAATGAGCTTGTGATTTGCCATCTTGTTTTCTGTTTGAAATGATATGAAGATTTTTGTGAATGGCGATGGTGCAAGTGTTGGTGAAGTGATGATCTTGGCGTTGCCATAAATGTTATTGTTAGTCGTTAGTACAGACAACATGTGATGTGATGGGGTGGACTGTGCCTCGTATACGGCAGTAGATAATAATGACTTTGATAGTACGAACTTCAAGCTATGTCAATTGAGAGAGGTGTTATGATACAATTGTGGAGGACAATGTTAGATTTAACACACCAAGGAAAATGTTCAAAAAAATCAAGTTAGGATATAACCAAGATTGAAACTGTGTCCTTAGTAGTGTTGGTAACAAGCTAAACAGGGACCATAACGTTTTATGTACCTTGCAAGTGGAGGATATAGAGTTGAAACAATCCTTGAGGACGGCATTTCCCTCGCTACAATTGCTAAAGTTAGTTGGTGACGATGTTTATGTTTATAATTTAAAAATATTTAGATTATTTTAATCTCTTAAAATTTTAAAATAATCATATTCGTTTTTATGCTTATATTTTTCCAAATTAATAGCCTAACTTAAAATATGTATATATGAATAGGAGCCACTTAGAGCATTAGGTAAGAAACTAACATGGTCACTTAGTTGGCTAATTTATAGTTATTTAATATCTTTAAAAGCAATTTTGTTATTAAAATAATTAACCTCACCTATTATATTATGATTTGGGTTGAATAATTAGATATACATTACTCATATTTAGATCTCGGAAGATTCTACTAAAAAAACGAATAATTTCATATAAAAATATATGGGTTTTTAAGAACCATAAAAAAAATATAAAGTTGAGAATTATAAATATAGAAAATAAATTAAAAATGTTTTAAGTGGGGGAAGATGATGGAATGGGAACACACTTAGAATTTCCATAATTGGAAAAAATAAGTTATAAAGTCATTAACAACAACTCCACCTCCTAACTTGCGTTCATACTAATGAATCATTCACGACAATTCGACATACCTTTCTTGGGATAACGTATTTAAACATAAACTTTTTTATTACTTAATTCACCAATTTAATCCATTATAAGTGACGAAGATTCCAATTCTCTTCTAATTAAATATTAATTATTCTAAACTTTTTTTTTTATTCATAGTTGTAACGACGATTTGATTCATAAACCTCTTAGATTCATAAATAATTTTGGTGCATTCCTCGGTTCGATTCATGAATCTAGTAAATTCATTTAATTCATCTTTCATATTGATATATGAATCTCTATGAATATTAGTATGAGAATTAATATTGTTATGCCTATATAAATATTTATCGAGCATTGCATTGTCATTTTGTATTTGTCTAGAGACAATTGAGAGAAATTTTGTAAGATAGAGTTTGTAGTGTGAAAGTTACATATGAATGTAGGAGAATTTCTTCTCTTTGAACTATGTAAAAATCTGTGTCTCTATGTTTTGTGGGTGCGTGAATATCATCGATCTTGCTTCCGCTTTCGCTACAACAATTGATATTAGAGTATTATATAGTCTCTAATTTCATTTTATTATTATTAAAAATACTTAAAACAAAATTTGATGGAGAGATGAAATTGTCTTTTTTTTTTTTTTTTTCCTTCAAATTATTAGCTAATTTAATTAATTAAGACAGAAAAAGGAATGGGAGGACAATTTTTAGTGGAGGAATAATTAATTAATTAATGAATATAATGTTAACAAACTTAGGTTAAAAAGAAGCAATAAGATTAAAAAGCATTGCATTATAAATGGTCCCAAGAAACAAACAAAGCAATTTAAAAGCCAAATTAAGTGGGATATAAATCAGCCTAAAAAGCATACCCCCTCAAATAAAAAAAAAAAAAAAAAAAAAAAAAAAAAAAAAAAAAAAA